CAGGGTTTTCGGGAAGCTGTGCCCCAGGGCAACTTTCTCCCTCCGTGGGCCACGAGGGCACACAATGGGGCAGGATCTCGGCGGGCTTAATTTACTTCAGATTTCTTGAGCGGAGTTGGCCGCCTCTGGAGCTTGCAGGAGCTCTCTCAACAAACTACTGGCCCAAGCTGTGAATTTGCAGGGAGATTTTTGAGCATCTAAAGATTTCTTAGACACATCTAGGTCATCCTTGCAACAGAGGCGGCTAAACATGCTTTGTCAATCACCCTTGGTCAACTTTCTGTTGGCGTGTGTGGCAAAATGTGGGTGCAGCCGCCCCAAAGCGACTTCCCTGCATCTTTCTCTGTTCAAGAAGGCAGTTGCAATCTGAAAAATGAAACTGGGGAGTCAGGTCATGCGGCTCTCGGTTGAAGCACTGTCTTCCTCATGCTGAGTTGAGTTCGAAGTAAAAGTAGGGGAAAGAATCACAGAGCCTTGCTTGAAGTGTAATGCAGACCATCCAATTGTCACTATTTTCCAGGGACAGTCCCGGATTTACAGAAGCTGTCCCGGTTTTTGATTTGATCCTGGAATGTCCTGCTTTTCCTTAGGATGTCCCTATTTTCATCAGAGAAATGCTGGAGGGTATGGAGTTATGCAACCCTCGAGCCAAGGAGATAAGTAATTACAGTGGTACCTCGGATTAAGAACTTAATTCGTTCTGGAGGTCTGTTCTTAACCTGAAACTGTTCTTAACCTGAAGCACCACTTTAGCTAATGGGGGCCTCCCGCTGCTGCCGCGCCGCTGGAGCACGATTTCTGTTCTCATCCTGAAGCAAAGTTCTTAACCCGAGGTAATATTTCTGGGTTAGCGGAGTCTGTAACCTGAAGCGTCTGTAACCTGAAGTGTCTGTAACTCGAGGTACCACTGTATACAGCCTTGAGAAGACATCTGCATAGGGAACTTCCCTGCATAGGGAATTTTGTGAGATATATATGTTGGAAGCTGCTCAGAGTGGCTGGGGCAACCTGGTCAAATGGACGGGGTATAAATATAAATATAATAATAATAATAATAATAATAATAAAAAATAGGATGTCTCTATTTCCATCTGATAAATGTTGGAGGGTATGGTGTAATATCCTGAGCCTCAGTGGTCTCCCTGAGTGCTACTAGTTAGGGTAACGATTTACAGGAAAAGTTGCACATACAGGTTTCTTGGTCTTGCGTACAGGAAGGGTAACCTGGGAAGAATGACTACATGTGATGCTCTTTCTGAGTGAGTGTGAGCAGCCTGACACCATCTTACCATCTCAAACAAGATTTCCCAGCAATTGCGGGCGGGGTTTCAGTGCTTGGAGGCTATCTTGACCCCTCCCCATAATTAAATGATGCAGACTCCACCATGCAAAAGAAAGAGTATAAATCACAAACGTTACGCAGGATTTCTAAAAGCTGCAAAACAAAGTTTCTTGGCATGGAATCTAAGGTTGCCTGGGTGGAGGATTATTTCCCCCCTTTTTTTCTTTTAAATATATCTTTCTTAGCATGGTGGTGTCTCTACAGAGCCCTGATCGCTTCCCACACAAAAAGCCTCACCTCTGCAAATTTATCACACTTCCGGCCTCCATCTGTTTAGTTACAGTACAAATCACAGCAGGGATGGGAGACCCCATCCCCTCCCCCTGTCCCTGGGGCCATATATTGCCACCTCCCTGGGTCTGCAGGAATTGCCCTTTGAAAAGATCTGGCAAGACCGAAGGGAGAGTTTATGACTCCTGATGGCTCCATGGTGACAGTGGGACTTGACTGGCAGGCATTGGGCTTGGCATTCCAGCAGGCAGGCAAAGAGAGCTAAAGTGGGGTGGCGTGGGGCAGAAGCTTGGAAAGGAGCAACCTTCCTCTGCCTGCGGGTCCCTTTGAGGCTACAGAGGCGGCTTGGCAGAGCTGGCACCTAGCCTGGCACTTCCCAGCTGGCATGAGGCCTTCTCCGGCCTGGCTCACCCAAGCTTCCCAGATGCCGCGGGGTCTGCAAGCCACGGTCGAGGGAGGCTGCCCGCTGCCCTGCCATATGCTGGTGCCGCTGCGAGATCCCTGCCAAATCCATCCCCAAGGCTGGCTGGGGCCCAAGCCCGTAAATCAAAGCCATCCTTGGCCTCCAGCCCTGGAGCCCGGGGTCCAGGGAGAGGGGGTGTGGTAGCAGCGCTGGAGAACGCCAAGCTTCCCAGGAAAACAGGTCTGTCTGAGATGCTGGCTCCCAGCCCTGGGCTCCCCGTCTGAGTGCTGGTCCGTTCAGCCGTCTGCAGGGCTGGTTTGCAAAGGGTGCCAGCACAACACTTTGGAGAAGCAGAGCTGGGGCTTGGGTCAGCTGCTGGTGGGAACAGCCTGGAAAGGGGAGCCAAAGATCCTAAAAGTGTTCCTATTTCCCAGGGACAATCCTGGATGTACAGAAGCCGTCCCGCTTTCTGATTTGATCCCAGATCGTCCCGTTTTTTCTTAGGACGTCCCCATTTTCACCAGAGAAATGTTGGAGGGTATGGAGTTATGCAACCTCCAAGCCAAGGAGATAAGTAACTATGCAACCTTTAGAAGACATCTGAAGGCAGCCCTGTATAGGGATGGTTTTTAATAATAATAATAATAATAATAATAATAATAATGTTGGAAGCCACCCAGAGTGGTTGGGGCAACCCAGTCAGATTGGAGGGTATAAATAATAAAATTATAATTAATATGGAATTGGACACCCCTATTTTCATCAGAGAAATGTTGGAGGATGCAATGGGGACTCCCTGAGAACAGCAGCTTGCTCACTGCAATGGCCCTGATGTCACTAGTTTCTCTTTCTTCCTTTCTGCTTCTTTTCCTGACCTGCACTTTATCAAACCAGATCAGCCATTCTCCAGGTCCTAGCAGTCCAATGTGACACTTGGCCTTGTCTGATTGTCTTCCATTACGGTGTATCTGAGGAGCTGCTTCAGACCTCTCAGCCAAGCTCAAGGTTCACTTAATCCAAGGATGGGCTACCTGCAGCCCTGCAGATGTTCTCAGACTCCCATCAGCCCCAGGTAGCAGGGCCAATGGCCAGGGATGATGGTAGTTATAGGTGGGTAATGTCTGCAGAGCTTCCTTGATCAAGCTTGGGGGTAGGCAATGTGGTGCCCTCCAGGTGTTTAGAAACATACCTCCCATCGCTCCTGACTCTTGACCATGCTGGATGGACCTGATGAATAGACTGCCTACCTGGCAGAGGTTCTGAACATTGGCTTATCCATGTGCTTTCCTTCCTTCCTTCCTTCCTTCCTTCCTTCCTTCCTTCCTTCCTTCCTTCCTTCCTTCCTTCCTTCCTTTAGAGAATGCCCTGAGAATGTTGGGATAGGGGTCAGCAAACTTTTTCAGCAGGGGCTGGTCTACTGTCCCTTAGACCTTGTGGGGGGCCGGATTATATTTTGAAATGAAGGAATTCCTATGCCCCACAAATAACCCAGAGATGCATTTTAAATAAAAGGACACATTCTACTCATGTAAAAACACGCTGATTCCCTGATCATCTGCGGGAAGGCGATTGGGCCAGATCCGGCCCCCAAGCCTTAGTTTGCCTGCCCATGGGATAGGGTGTGTTGCTTCAGTTGCCATATTCAGCTTGCCTTGGCTCGCAGAAGTTAAATCTCTGACGACAGGAACATCGGAGCTTGCCGTCGCGTCAGACTGTCTGTCGGTGTCTCCCCCAGTCCTAACTGCACATGTCTGGGATTGAGTTGGGGATTTCCTGCAGGCAAAACTGTACGGTTCCAAGGATTAAAAACCATTCTTGTACGCTACTTGAAAACTGTAAACTGCCTTGAGTGCCTTGGCAGAAAGGAGGTATATAAATGCAACAAACAAACAAACAAACAAACAAATCCTGTATATACAAACAGGCAAAAACAAATGTATACACACAAACGCACTTAAGAAACAGTTTCATATGTAAAAGCAGTTTCATGTCCAATGAAGACACAAATTAGGGTGAAGACATCCACATTCGAAAAACTTGTTGAAAGAGGAAGGTGCTTGGAAAGTAATGGATTTTGCCAGCCCTTAAGGGAGCTAAGAGACCTATGCTTTGAGCCTGGAAGGACAAACACCATCTATTATGCAATGGTCAGAGGACCTCACTGTCATTGCTACCTTAAAAGGTCTTTTGTCTAAATGTCAATTTTGTTTTGATACCTATCAGAACCTTTAGATGGCACATATTGACTTGTGTGTTTAAACAGAGCTGGTTGCATTGATGGTCATTGTGAGCTGGTGTTTCCTTTTTCTTCGGTTTCCCCGTTTCTACTTTTACGGTCGCTGCGTTGGATATTCTCATGGGGTGGGGGGAGTCCTCAGATGTTTTCTTTCCAGAGAAATTTGGCTCAGCCTTGCCCTGGAATGTATCAAATGCTCCCCTGCACCACCTGCACATTTTAGGGCATGGCTGGGGAAAACCTCCCAAATATGGCCTTCTAGGGCCCTCCGTTTGGACCTTAGGAGCTTCCCCAACCACACCTGCTCCTCAGTTCCACTCCACTCACCTGAGTGCTTACACCTGGCTGGAATTTTTCTGCAAATTGTGAAGAAGCCTCTTGCCTGCCTGGAAGAAGGATGGAGGGGTGTGTGGCCCCTGGAAGGTTGATTATGAAACAATGTGGCCCTCAGGTTGCTGTAGCAGGAAGTGAGGAGAAATGTAGCTGTTTCCTGGAGATTATGTGCTATTTATTGTCCTTCCCCAATAAACTTTCAGGTAAACTCAGTATTCCCCAGAAACAGTCTGCAAACCGCTGAACTCGTTCACAAGGTAAGATTGCTGGCTAAATAAGGAAATAATGATGTGGTTGTTTTGCTTCCAGGCATTTAAAAACAAAACTTGCACACCACTGAATAGGCAGATTGTGTGCTGTGCTCCTGGACCTGTCGGAAACAAGTGCATTCCACCCCTAGATTTGGAAATGTGGGGCTCTGCTGAAAACCACGCCACTGGGATCTTTTGCCTTGCTCCAATGTTGTGCCATAGCTCAGTGGTGGAGCATCTGCTTTGCGTGCAGAAGGTCTCGGGTTCAATACCTGGCACCTCTAGGAAGGGACAGAAAAGACTCTATACCCCAAATCCTGGAGAGCTGCTGCCAGTCAGTGTAGACAGCACTGGCCTAGATAGACCAATGGCTTGACTCGGTATAAGACAGCTTCCTATGGGCTCTTTCCCCAGCCCCATACAGCTACCAGAATTGTGCATGTCAAGAATCAATCATTCTAGTCCTCAGTGATGCAGATGCAGTTTCACCAGGTTTATAAAACACTGAGTGTGCAAAGCTTTTTTTGCATAAGGCTCATCAACCTGGGAAGGGAGCTCATTTAGGAGAAGAAAAACTCTGATCCTAAACCTCCATTGCCTTGCAGGATATCTTTGGGAGAAGAAAGGGCTTAGGAGCAAACTTTTCCAGCAGGGGGCCGGTCCACTGTCCTCTCAGACCTTGTGGGGGGCCGGACTATATTTTGATTTTTTTTTTTTTAAAAAATGAATTCCTAAGCCCCACAAATAACCCAGAGATGCGTTTTAAATAAAAGCGCACATTCTACTCATGTAAAAACACCAGGCAGGCCCCACAAATAACCTAGAGATTGATTTTAAATATAAGCACACATTCTACTCATGTGAAAACACGCTGATTCCTGGACTGTCCTTGGGCCGGATTGAGAAGGCGATTGGGCCGCATCCGGCCCCCGGGCCTTAGTTTGCCTACCCATGGCTTAGGAGCAAAGCCTACACAAATCCAGAGTGTAGTCTCTAAGTTGGTTGGGTGGCACCTTGTGTGGCTCCTTCCGGCAATTCCTGCACCCAAGTTGGTGCCAAACATGTTGCTTTGCATTCCTTTGGACCCCAACAACGAGGCCGAGAAGGGGGTCTTGTCATCTGGGCAGCCCAGGACCTCCAGACACACTGCCCAGGCTTGTGCTTTGGTGCTGCTAATGCAGTGGTTTGACTTCACCCCTGGAGGTGCACTCCATTGTCTCTTGAGACAGACAGATGCCAGCAGCAGCAACAACATTGGAAGGGAGGCCAATATTATTAAGGCAGATGAGGAGCTGAGACTGCCCAGCAAATATACACCTGGGGCTGGCAAGATGTGAGCCAGGGAAGTGGAGAGGCAATGAGGACATGCCTACTGATAGGGAAAGAAGGTGAGCAGGAATGGGGACCATCTTTTGTAGGGATGAGGACCGCCATATATTGCTGGACTCCCCAGCCGCAGCCACAGCCGCAGCCGCAGCCAGCATGCCCAATGGTCAGAGATTGGTTCCTGATGCCTGGTCAAGCAGATGTCCTTTCCGCCTTCTTCTTTCAGAATTGTAGGCAAGGAAAGACCCAATTTCTGGAATGCTGTGTCCGGTTCTGGTCTACCCAATTTAAGAAGGATGTTGATCAGCTGGAAGGTGTGCAGAGGAAGGCAACCAAGATGATGAAGGGTCTGGAAACCAAGCCTTATGAGCAACGGTTGAAGGAGCTGGGTATATTTAGCCTGGAAAAGAGGAGACTGAGAGGAGATAGGATAGCCACCTTCAAATATCTCAAGGGCTGTCCCATGGAAGATGGAGCAAACTTTTCCCCATCTGGTCCAGAGGGTAGGACTCGAACCCATGGCTTCAAGTTACAAGAAAGATTCTGACTAAACATTGAGATGAATTTTCTGACAGTACGAGCTGTTCGATAGTGGAGCGGTCTCCCTTGGGAGGTGGTGGACTCTCCTTCCTTTGATGTTTTGGAGCAGAGGTTGGATGGCTACCTGCCATGGATGCTTTAGCTGAGATTCCTGGATTGCAACAGGCTGGACTAGATAAGCCTTGGGATCCCTTCCAACTCTACAGTTCTGTGATTCTGTACAGCTTCTTGAGATCATTTGGCTCTATAAGCTGCCTTCAGTCTGAGGACTCTTTCCCCTTGCCAAACTTAAAAGCAAGCCTTGATCCTCTCTTGGGCTGCCTAGCCCACAGGTGAATGCCATCAGCAGGGGACATCTAATGTCCCACACAACGCACAGATGCTTTGCAGCTGAATCACTGGTGGATCTTGGGGGGGGGGATTTAAGCTCTGGGCATGAAAATGCCCTTTGTGTCAAAGTCCAGGAAGGAAGTTGCTTCCCATCACTAACCCGGGAGCCAGTAGATGGCAGTCTAAGCTCGCAGAAGATTTCTGGCTTCTCCCACACCCCGCTGGTAAAAGCTGGACTTTTCTTGGAGCAAGATAGAGAAAAGCACACATTTCACGTAGGTTATGGGATGGGCGGTGGGGAGAGGGGTCTGGCTTCCAACAGATGAGGAAATGGGGTCACTGTTTCTCTTTCTTGTCCCACTCCTGGCACTCACTTGCCAACTCCCACCAACCCATATTTGCATGCACATGCCACACGCGTTATCGATTACGTATTTACTGGCTCGAACCTCCTTTTCTTCCAAGGTGCTCAAGACAGCTCACATGGTGTCCGCTGCCTCTCCCCAGTGATTCGTTTTGTCCTTACGACAAGCCTGTGAGGTAGGACAGGTTGAGAGATGGCGACTGGCCCAAGGTCACCCTGCGAGCTTCAGGGTTATGGGAGGATTTGAACCCAGGCCTTCCAAGTCCTGACACAGGAATATAAGAAGAGTCCTACTGGATCAGGCCAGTGGTCCATGTAGCCCAGCATCCATTCTCACATGCACGCCTGGGGGGAACGTGCAAGCAGAAATGGAACACAACAGCACTCTCCCATTCCACAGTTTCCAGCAACTGGGATTCAGAAGGTTTTCTGTCTCTGATCCTGGAGGTTCAGAGCCATTGTGGCTATTGGCATGCTAACCACTGTACCACACTGCCTTGCACATCCCACCACAATAGCACACACCCAAAATTACATGTTCAAGCAGGCATGAAGCAGAGGTCTGAATTCTAGCCTTGGCAGCCGCTGAGTTGAGTGCCCAGCGGGCCAGGAGGAACAGGCAGATTTCTGCGCTCCTTCCAAAGTGAACCAGAGGCCTCTGGCAGGAGAGGAAGGATCTTAGCAAATTCCCTGGACATCTTCCACCACGGTGGGGCGCAGAAGAAATACCCCCACCCTATTTCTGGCCGAGGAACCAGGCAAATCGTTTCGCCAAAATTTCTCCACGGGGAGGAGAAATCCTTCTTCTGTTTCCCAGGGGTGAAGAAATGGCAGGATCAGCGCAGCTGCTTTAATTTAATTTATTTACTGCTGCAAAAATGTCTGCAGCAGAAGAACCAACTGATATCGGCAGACTTGCCACCAATTTAAACCCTTACACAGCGCCCCCCCCCACTCCCAGCCTAATCTCATTCCAGGGTGTTGGGCAGGAGAAAGAGAGAGAAAAAAGAAAGGGGGGGGCACTCAGAAAGACATTTTTCCTTAGAGTTTCTGCTTGGCTTTGATGCAGCCTGAGCTGTCCCAACTAATCCCAATGTACATTAATACAGTATACCAAATTTGCATCTCATTCTTCCTCCAAGAAGCACCAGGTAGCTTTCCCATTTTAGCCCTGTCAAGTGATGGATAGATTGATAGGATCATAGAGCTGTAGAGTTGGAAGGGAACCCTAAGGGTCATCTAGTCCAACCCCACTTTGCAATGCAGGAAATGCAGCTAAAGAATTCCTGACAGGTGACCATCCAACCTCTGTTTGATTATTGCATTTGTACCCCACTTTTCCTCCAAGGAGCTGAAGGTGGCGTACATGGCTCTCGCTCTCATCACTGCATCCTCACTGCAACACTGCGAGGTAGGCCAGTGACTGGCCCAAGGTCACCCAGCGAGCTCTTGCTCGAGTGGGGATTTGAACCCCGGTCCCAGTTCGCACTCTAACCACTACACCACACTGTTAAAGGAGAGAGAGAATGATCATGGCTGGCCACTATCAGAAAGTATAACACAAGGATTTGAACTCAGATCTTTCCAGCACTGTAGCTGCTACGCCACACTGACTGTCTTCCTAGCCTTTCCCAACAGGTGGCGCTACACCCTGTTACCCTTTTCTGCCAAGCACGGCGATCGGAGTCACAAGTACCTTCTTCTACTTTTGCTAAGGCCACCTTCAAAGGTCAGTTCAAGAACGTGACTTTGGAGATGCCGCCAACCTGTCTGCCAAAAGCAAATCCTCTTTATCAGCACTAGAATGCTGAAGTCACCGGCTACCTGGAGCCTGGCAGGCCAGTCTATTCCTAGAACTGCCTGCTCCTGCTGCCCTCCTGTGGTAGGGTTGCTATACGTCTGGAATTTGCTGGACACAGCCGGAATACTGAAGTCGAAAGCAGTGTCAGGCCAAAAATCGCTTAAATGTCCAGGGAAATCTGGCCATATGGCAACCGATGTCGGAAGTATAGGTTTTGGTGAATTTCCTTTAAAACAGCTCAACAACCTCATTTGGGCAACTTTAAATACAGTGGACGCTCGGGTTGCAAACGTGATCCGTGTGGGATGCACTTTTGCAACCTGCAGCGCCACATCTGCACACACGCGGGTTGCGATTTGGCGCTTCTGCGCATGCGCAACCGCCAAAACCCAGAAGTAACCTGTTCCAGTACTTCCGGGTTTTGACGGATCCGTAACCCGAAAAAAACGCAACCTGAAGCGTCTGTAACCCAAAGTATGACTGTATATATATTTAGTTTTTCAAGTTTTATAATTTTACAATCAGTTATCCAACAACCAACATAAAAACAAGATTTCAAAGAATCTGTTGAACTCCCCTCCTCCCCTTTGTGAGTTCTTATACTAGCCTTTTCCTCCTGCATCTTTTATATTAATCCAAATTTTGTACATTATTCAAGTAAATTTATTTGTTCAAAAATAAAAAAAGTTTGCGCCCCCCCCCCAAAAAAGCTCAACAACTTTGAAATACAGCAACCCTATCCTGTGGCACACTGGGTCCGTTCATCTGGCTGTTAACCAGAAGGTTGGCGATTCGAGCCCACCAAGGGGTTGGATGATGAGCCTCGCGTTCCCTTCCAACTCCACGATTCTATGCCTATACCTAGAACACAGGATGGAACAGGCCAAAGAGGGAGGGAGCCCTGCGCTCCAACATTACTGTCTGTCC